GATCCAGCCTGTGCTCCTGCTCCCCAGCCTTTGTCTTCCCCAGATTTGGCAGAGGCCGAGACATCCCCATGCCACGTCTGCAGATGTTCAGAAGTATCATAAAGGAACTCCGAGGAGCAGCTCAGATCACTCTTGTCTGCTGGGAGGGGAATGTGGGATCCAAAATGCAGCAAACAGCTGGGGCTGGGAAAGCACTGTGCTAGCTGCCAGGGATGCACACCAACCATGAGCTAATCCCAACAAAAATAGGAGTGAAATCATAATTCATCTGCATAATTCATGTGCATAATTTTATCTTCGCTGTATTTTCTCCAGGGATGTATTCTAGAAAATGCTTGCTTTCCCCTCCCCTCTTGTCCTTCCAAAAAGTGCCACAGATACAAATCATTGGAGACAGCAAGGAGTTGTAGCTTTGCTGGGTTAACAAATAAACGATAGATTTCTCTTGAGCTCCTGGCCTAGGTCTTGGCAAGCGATGCAGGTCGAAGCTGTTGTATAGACAAGCAGGCTTGTAACAATCACAGGATTTTAATTGCTTTCATTATGAACCCTGGCTGCTGATTGTATCTTTATGAAAAACTAACAGTTTGCGCTTGAAAATGCTAAAAATGTAAAACAATAATGGCAATTGGAGATAATTAATAGTTATTCTGAAGCAAGGATTAGACTCCAAGAAGACACCCAGAAAGAACGGAAAGCATTGCCCTGTTTACTACACAGACTACAGGCTGCTTTTCATATGATGTGAGATCTGGCAGTTTAATTGCTTAATGATTTTCTGTAAAATATTTAAGCACCATGATGTCTTGAGCCAGCCCAGCTCTGCCGGAATTGCAGGTGTCAGCGCTGCTGGGGACAGTCACGACACAAAGCCCAGGCCTGGCACCAGTGCTTGCTGAGTCACACCCAGCCCTGCGCTGTGTGAGCCACCAGGGACACAGCACCCAGGGACCTCACTGGAAAGGGTCAAGCTGTACCTGCTCTCAGCCCCACCATTTCAGGGGATCCTCAGCAGCACAGGCCTGGATTGACCCCTCCAAACTGGTTGACGGGCCGGGTCAACTGCTCTCTACCAGGTCAGTGTGATCCTTTCAAGAAAAGACGACTTTTAGAACTGGATTGACAAAGAGGCTTTGTCTCCATCAAAGCGTTCTGGGCTTTCCTCAAAAATAAAATGCATTTCTTCCCAGTGCCGTGCTGTGGGCTGGGTGCCAGCCATTGCTGCATTCAGGCTGCAGTGGGGCCACATCCCACTTGCACCCAGACCCCAAAACAACCAGCATGATATCCTGAGCCTGGTACAAAACATGGTAGCCTCTTGCTCATGGAAAGATGTCTGTGTAAGATGGGATTTCCATTCGTCTGACTCAGCTTAAGCAGCACAGGGCTAAACCTTGTCCTGGCAGGACACTGGGAAACACTTTTCCCAGGTGTGGTTTGGATGCCTGTGTCCCACAGCAGCCCCCAGCCTGCTCTGCAGCCCCTGGCCCACACACACTGGTCAGAGGTGCTGCTGTGACTCTGGGAACAAAGGCCGCTTTCATGATGCCAGAGACTGCTGTGGCAAATTCCTGGGATGTTTTTATGGGCTGTAACCAATGCAACGGGAGAGAAGAGCTCCCAGCAGTCTCCTCCCCCTGAAAGCACTCAATTCACACCAGGCTGGGAGGAGGTGAAAGGAAAGGCCATGCATGTGTTGAAATGTGGGGGGATTGCAGCTCTCTCACAAACTCTTCCTACTCACCAATCACTAAAACAGCTTCTGCAGGAAGTAAGATGAGCCCCTCCAGGGCCAAATGGAGCTGCTCCCGGAGCTTGACACAGGGCCAAATCCTGATGGGCACTGAGCAAAGCCTTGGGCTGCCCCCCGGCCTCCTGCAGGAGAAGGGATGGGGCCAGAACATGGCCCTGCAGGGTCAAACCCAAAGCTGCAGCCTGGACACAAGGAGGAGGAAGCCAGAGGCTAAAGACCAAGAGAAATCCATCTGGAGGCTGCACAGGCAATCTGAATAGATCAACAATGACCTGAAATGTTTTGAGACAGTGCAGATGCTGCATTCTGCTTTACAGCAATCCCCATCCTGCTCTGTTCTCAACCCAGCACAATGCCAGGAGAACTAAGGGACGTTTCAACCCATCCTTCCACAGGCACAGTGCCGGGCAGGGGAACATCTCCCTTGTTTCCACCACCAGTGCTCAGAGTAGGACAGCCTTCAGGGAAGCTCCAGGGGGGCCGGAGAAGTTGCTGACCTGAAGAAAAGCAGGTTTTTTTGTCTCAGCAGTAATGAATTATTATTACTTCGCCTCAGCTAGATGCTGCCTTAAGGGAAAAAGCATCTGATCGTCTTTTAATAAACACAGTTTATCCTTCTGTGAGGAGCCTGCAGCTCCCATATCCATCCAGCACTGAGGCATATGGCTTCAGCACAGGCTTTGTTGCTATGAGTCACAGTCTGGCAAAGGGTGTGGGAGACGCTGCTCAATAAATAGAACAAAGCAGGGAAACCTCGGGTGGGCAGGGATGGCACAGCCCTGCTTCCCGCACCAAGAGGCATCGGCTCTTCAGGATTTACCAGGCAGGGACTGAGCATGAGATAAAAATGATTTCCATGTTTTTCTCTCTTCATCTCAAACCTCCCACAGAAACACTGCAAAAAAGGAACACGTCCTTCGGGTATCAGGTTTATCAGCAACAGGCTTCGCTCCATGTGCTCGGGAAAGACTAAAGCTGCAGTGCCTGTGCTGCAGAGTGATTTTGTGGGGTGGAAGGACAGAGCACAGACAAGCAGCCCTGGGCATCCCATAGGAGTAGGCTGCAATGCCCAGCCCCTTCATGGGTGTACAGAGCTAGGAGGATCTCACCATCACTGGGACCCTTAATAGAACACAGGCAGACACAGAGGAGGAGAATATTGTGCCCATGTGACAAGGAGGCAGGGCTGGCTCCTGCACCTTCTCCAGCTGCTTTACTCCAGGCTCCCTCCATAGAGAAATAAATACTAGTTAATGACTAATAGCTACATACATGGAACACAGCCACCAAAAAGAGCCTGCACAGTCTTCAGTACCACAAAACTGCTTCTGCAAGGCCACATCTGGAAGAAATACTCTACGCAAGGAATTTAAAATTCTGGTTTGTGCAACAAAAAATAATGTGACACCCTCCCCAGCTATGAACCACAGTTATCCACAGCAAATGCACACATGTCTGCAGGCATCAGGCCTGAGTCCACGAGCAGCAGCCAGCAGCTCAGACCCTGCTGCCACCAGACATTTTCTGAATTCCCATAAAGCAGAATGGTAACATATACTGAGTTCACATTTAAATAGTGGGTTTTTTTGTGGTGTTTTTTTTCCCCAAACATCTGGAAGCAGTTTTTTTCTCCAGATGTTTCCCCCACAGATACATACCTTCCACTCACTGTTCCAGATCCAGATGTTTCCAAATAGGACTGTGTTCTTGCTGAGGCTGAGCAGGCATCCCAGCTGCTGCTGGCCTCTCCAGCACAGACACAGTTAACACTCTGAGGCATAATGCAGGCCACCTGCACATGGTGGAAACTGGAGACGAATGTGGAGCAGAGCAATGGAAAAATTCAAAGCCAAAAGCTGTGTCAGACACCGTCTGGGGAGACCAAGGGAAAGGCAGTGGGACACAAAGCTCTGTGTTAAAGCCTCATCCTGCTCTCAGTTGTGCAGAGGCAGGTGAGCGGGGCTTGGTTTCCCTGCTAGCTTCATCACTAAAGGTGCAACCTAGAGCTGCTATTTCTTAGCCTGAAGGGGGATTTCTGCTGCAATGACACATCTAAGGAAGCAACAAACTCATTTTCTACTTGCACGTGTCAGCTCCAAGGTATGGTATCACTCCAGGATTCCACTTTTCACCAGGGACCATCTTACACCAGCACAACCATGGGATGTAACTATATGCACTGAAATAGGCTTCCCCATTGACAGAATAGCCCTAGAAAAGTTCATCAGGAGTTCAGATTAGCAGCCTCCTGTGCTGCAACTGGCATTCCTGAGTCAGTTTTTAACCATTAAGAGCCCCATGCACCAATAGGGATCAACTTCCCCAGCCCCACAGGGCTGCAGATGTTTTCCTGGAGTCACAGCAATAACTCAGACCCAGCCACACCAGGAATTCAGAGCCTCAGCACAGTTTAGCTTAAACTATAATTCCAGCTAAAAGGCTCACAGGGAATGCAGAGGGAGGAGCAGCACTGCCAGCTCCTCCCAAATATAGAAACCTCCTCTGCTTTTCAGCACTGTCAGGTGCAGGTTAGACAGGCTGCCTGTGTGTAACAAACATACTGCTGCTTGCTTTGGAGTTCTGCTTTCAGCTCATTTTGTAGCTGCTTATCATAAGCCTCACGCTTGTCTACAGCTCAGCTTCCCCTCATTTTACATGCCCGTGTTACAGTCCTGCAGCATAGCTGTTACACTGTTGGAGCTGACAAGAGCCCACAGATTTGCCAGAATATCAGGAAGGCTACACACTCAAACTTAGGTTGGCAGGAACAAGTCAGGGAGGCAGAGTACTGAACATGGCAGCTCCAGGAAGTCTGCACTTCCAGATTTTGCCTTGCTAGTAAGCAGAGAGAGGAACCCAACTTTCCTGCAAAGCAGGGCAGACACCTGAGTACACACAGGAGCCAGGACCCCAGCTGCTACACTACCTCCAGTCTGCCTGAAGCCATTAAGAGGTCAGACTTAATGCCTTCATATCTAGGCTACTTGGCACAGAAGCACCTATTAGGGCTGCAGCAGGATGCTCTCCCCTCCATCTCTCCTTCTGGCACAGTATTTGAGCCAGACTGGAGGTCAGTGACCACACAGATGGGCCACATATGCTCCCCTGACCAAGTTACTTGCAGCTTCCATAGAGCTACCTCCTTCAGGTCATCAGCATCCTCCAGGGCAGAGAACTTGTCACTCACCTTCCCCAGACAAGAGCAGTTTTTGCATCAGACAGCTGGCAATGAAGAAACCAGAGGCTGTTTAAATGTGTCAATTCACCTTTAATGTTTGAAAAAAATAAATGGTATTTGAGCCATTGCAGTTATGAAGGGAACGTATCTTGCTCCACAAGAGACCGTGAACAGGTTCACATTAGACTCATGCTTGGAAAAAAAACAAATCCAAAACATTCTTTCAGTTCAAGAGTGGAGTTCTCAATAGACAAGACCACAAGAGTGCCCCAGACAGCCCAAGGCACATTACCCCAGTGCAAACATTTCCATCAACATGAAGTAATGACAGCTACATTCTTTCTAGTTACAACATTGTTCTATCCATATTACAAAATTAGGCATACTTTGGATTTTGCACAGAGACAAGAAAGACTTTTACTTCAGGAAGTAGTCAACCTGGGTCATCCAGCTATTTCACAAATAATAGCTCCCTTCACTCTGCCTTCCCACCCCAGCAGTGACTTGTTACCAACACCAAACTTGTCCTAGAGACACAAGTTAGGCTCACAAGCCCAGTGATATTGCCTATACAAAACAATAGATAGACTTTATGACAAGCACTAAATATTTACTTGCCATCACACTGTCCTTCAGAAGGATTTCTCCCACCCAGATAAAAAACACTTCCTGCAGTTTAATCCAAGAGTCAGTACATACTAAGACAACATCACTGCTGAACCTATTGGAGACCAAGACATTTTTCTGCCATTGAAGCAGATGTCACATGAGTTTCCTTCACACAAACATCACATGTAAATATTACTTCTTGGTACTGTGCTTTAAGAACAAAAGCAGATATCAGAACATGGAGGACAGCCCTCCAGAAATAGCTTATCAGCTACAGAAATTAAAAAAAGGAGACAGTGGCCACTTACAAATCTTCCACATGACTAGCTTGTTTTAAAGGAGAGCATCAAGTTAAGGCAGTGTTGAGACAACTGGCTAAAAACATGCCAAATAAGTTGTTGTCAGTAGTCACCAATTTGATATCTACTCCATTTCAGGGATGGGCCATGTGGCCAACTTTAGATCTCAGTATCAAGGTCTAAAGACTTCAGTCAGAGGTTGCTGCTTGCTGCAGGAAGCAGCATCTCAAGGGGATGCTTCTTGAAGTCTTCTAGACCAGGCTGAGGTGTTTACAAGCCTAGGTCAATGTTTCAGCAGAGCCAAAAAATACAGTGATGGGTACTGAAAGAACACTGAGTGTGCCAGCTGCAAGTCTGTTTTTAATCACAGTCCAGGGTGGAGTTCAACATGTGTGAAAGCCACATAAATAAGAGCCACCCTACCAGCTTTCAGGTGGATTAAGTACCTGCGCTGAGGTTACTAGGAGAGCCAGCTCTCTACAGTCTGCAGGGTGGGTACAGTGGCTCACACTGGCTTTGCTCCTCATTACAAGATTAACAGTCTAGTAAAACTCCATAAGGAAGTCAGGGTCTTTTTGGCCTGCCCAAAGAAGTTTTCCCAGCCTCAAAGAAGGAATTACTACTGAGGGAGCTGTTGTGGAACAGTTTTATTTCTTACCACGTAAAGGCCATTGTTTAAGCATTTACAGGTTTCCTAGTGCAATACAACCAAAAAAAAGCAGTAACAAAAAATGCCGCCTTCTTCCCAGGCAACTAAACAGAAGTAGAATTTTACTGCAACATATACACATTAAATATAGTATACAGTCCATGCAGCGGCATAGCCATGTTAAGGGGAGTCGTGGCTTCAGCCATCAGTGCATTACAGTCCAGATTTCACTTGCTTCTACTTCCTATCCAGACTTGAAGAGAAGAATTGCAACCTGACCCAAGTAAAAATAGATGAAGTGCTTTGTCTCATGTGTTACGTAGCTGCCAAAGTTTCTGCCAACAATGCAGTGCCAAGTTGGGTTGTATTTCTTGTCAAATTCCTGAAGAAACAGAAGAGAGGCATTAAGGCCAAGAAAGCCCACATGAAAATAGCTCTAAGCACAAATTCTTAACTGGTTCTGTTCACACTAACTCCTCTCCTCCCACCTGCTGCGTCTTTAGATTTCCCACTGCAAGATACCATTGTATTAAGTGAAGTAGTGACTGACATACGCCAGGCCTCTGCACTGCACTGGCTTGTCTGAAGGATACAACACAAGCAAATTATCTCCTGAGATCTGGAATATGCATCAGCCTTGGGCAGAATGAGCAGACGTAAGAGCTCTCCTCAGTACAGCACTATACAAGCCCTTCATGTAGGTAGCTGAGGGGAATATTTCTACTCTCCCATTCCAATCCTACTCAAAAAAAAAAAAGATTTTGGCATGTCTGCTCTAGCAAGGCATTTGAGCTTAAAGATCACCAAAGTAAAAGAAGTCTGGTTTATGCTGTTTGGGACATTTCTTCATTAACAGAAGAATGTTCCAGTGAAAGTAAGCAAGAAGATTCACAGGACACAGCTAAGATACTTGAGGTAAAAGGTACACAGAAGGAACACTGGTCTGTTTAGCAGGTGAGTGCATTTTCTTCCTGGGTGTTATGTATTAGAGGGAACACCCTTTCCTCACCCAGACAGAGCCAGAAGAGAACAAAGTTAAACATTAAAGCAAGTGTTAGTCCTCAGACAGCAGCAAGAGTCTCAGCTCCTTGCAGGTAACCTTTGAAGTAGGTAAAAGCTTCCTTGCCAGGGCATGAAGGTGCAGCAAATAATTTCACCCTATACTCTTCGAAAATAAAGGCCAACTTTTTGGATTCTGTTGCATTCACTCACTTTGCACACTGCATTGCCTCAAGCACTTAGAGATAGGTCTTGCTCCAAAAGATCAAAGTGATCTGAAAAGTTGGGAAACATCTTTGAATCCATTCACGCTTAGATTACAAGGCCCAAAAGCTAATCCTGGTGCCAGGACTGTATTACCTACATAATTATTTTGCTCCTTCAAAATGACTTTGGCCATTCTTCAGAGAAGTGGCTATAGATGGAACTGACAGCTCCCCAGATGCTGTCAAGCAAGAGACAGAAGTTAATGGGCTCCCATAAACAGGGAAACATATCTTCATGAGCCAGGGGAACTGCCTGCACTGCTTTTAAAGCAGCTTGTTTGTACATTCCTGCCAGCAGAACGAGGCTGCATCCTCCTCCACACCCACCACCCTGGAGTCTGGAACACTACAAACAGAACTGCTCATGCAGGGCTACCCACTTCTGCGTGAAGCTTCAGAGTAATCCCATCCTGCACCTGCACTGCCAGTCAAGCAGAAGCAGTCAAGCAAAAGCAGCAGCATCCACGGAGCAAGCCCTAAACAGAGGCTGCAGCCAGCTCTTAAGGCTAGCAAATTGAGATGGAAAGCACTCAAACTGCTCGCTGAGAGCAGCAACACACCAGGCCCTGCTCTGCCACAGTCTTCCTCTGACCTTGGAAAAGTCACTCCATCCTCTTGGGAACTGCAGTGAAGCAGCAAAGAAAACATCTTCCAAACACTGAAGTATGAAGTGTCAGACACTCAGGCTCAACACACACATATTTAAGAGCTGCAGGAATTCTCAGGCAGAGCACCCCCCTCATCCCTTATTTACCTTCTTTATATATGCTGCAATGTCCTTTTCTATGTTGTACTTCTCCATTGCCTGTGTGGCACAGTCAACAGCATCCTGCTGCATGTCCTCGGACATGTCTGCATTCTTGATGACAGCCTTTCTGTCAGACATCGTGAACCTAAGGCAGAACATAGATTCCTTTAATCTCTTCCCAAGAAAGGAGCAGTTGCCCATGCTCAGAGGTTTTCCTTTACAGCAAGCTGCATCACAGGCCAATACTATGAAATCCGTTACACCCAGTGTGAGTTTATCAGAGAGCCTATCGCAGCCCCAGCTAAGATCCTTTGCAGCTGGAACACTGAAGCATTGGCAATGTCTGGAGGTTAAATCAGAGATAGCCCAACATCATCACCTGCATCAAACAGGCAAAAAAAACTGTGTGGGAGGAGACAAGATCTGCAGAGACAGAGCCCTCCTATACATCAATAGCCTACAGCCAAGTCTGTCTTCCAGGTGCACCAATGGTTCAGAGCATCACCTGCTTGGAACCTCAGGAGCTGACCCCAGACCTGAACCCAGCAGCAGCTTGCTAAGCATGACAACAGTAATAGTACTTTTATTTTGCCCTTGCCCTAGCTACTGTTGCTAGTTCCACTTGGAATGAACAATGTTCCACAGTCAGCCTATCACTTCAGTACTGCTGCTAAACCCCAGATTTCAGCTACTCCCACAGGACAAAGCAAGTCTGACAAACCAGAAACACCACACTACAGCCAAACAGGGAAACAGGCTGGGGGAAGCCAGCCACCGCTAGGGCCAGGGAAGGGTACCTCCAGTCTTTCTTCCCCTGCCTGTAGATCACAGCACAGGTGTAAGACACCAGCACACCAGTACTACCCATCACCTCTAAAAAACCAGGAAATGGTAACTTGAGCTGACCTCCTTCACTGTGAGCTAGTTACATGTACTGAGCCATTGACATGTAGACTTACCACGGCCTTCCTATGAAGCAGTCAGCATTGGGAAGTCTCCTGGATGCAGTTCACATTATCCTAGAAAGCAGGGTCTTAGCAATCCCAACCCCAGAGCCTTTCTTGAAGCAAGGAGAGGAGCCCTGTGTAGCACTGCTGGCTGGCCCACTCCAAATCCCACTCTGGACACTGGAGTAACTATCCCAGGGAGTGCCAAGTCAGGAAGCATGCACCATCTGTGGGGCTGGTCAAGCAAAGGCCTATGCTGAGAAGAAGCACTGCTGCTCACCTCAGCAGCAACTCTTACCAGAGTGCACTAAAATTCTGTGAAATAAGCTTCTTACTGGCAAGAAGTACCTCCAATTAAGCCTGCAAAACACTCTTAAGTTTATTAGATCTCTCTACAATGCTGTGAGCCCATGCAATAGTACCAAGGATGTTTTGAAATTGTGAAACTACACATTCATAGCTTTACCAAAGAGTGAAGAAAATCTGCTGCAATGATCGCTTCCTGGAACAGTCCCAGAAAACTGAAGGAGTAGCTTTGTTACAGCAATTAAAGGAGCCTGCTACCCAGAGAGAAAGAGAATCCAGTTACATAATTGCAGCCCTACAATTACAATACTTCAATTCTTTACTCTGTCTGCACTTGAAGTCTTCTACTGCAACCTTAATTTATACTATGTAGATATGGTGCTTAATAGAGCGCTGCTATTAACATACACTAATAGCACCAAGAGGAATGGCAGGAACTGAGCTCAGACAGCAAAAGAGCACACACCTATACCACTGCCATGGAAAAGCCACTTGCAGTCACTTTGTTCCCCTCTCTGCTGTGGTTTGAGCCAGCAGGTTCTAGCATGGGGCCTAAAAATCCTGACATGGCAAGACATGACTCAGAAGAACCAAGCTAACAGCCTGCAGATGTGAATTCATTATCCAGGGGGCTGGCAACCCCTCAGAAGAACCTTCCACATGTCCTCCCCACAGGAAGAGTGACATAGAGATTCACTCATGGATGTTTCTCTCAGAAAAGCCTCTTTGAGGAACACCTGGCCTTCACATGTCTGCAGCACACAGAGTTCAGAGGACATCTGCCATTACATAAGCTGACATCACTCGACCTGCAAAAAGCATCTTCTGTCTTCATCATTCTGGCAAGGAACATCTCAGTGCAGAACGGTGCCTTCAACGGCCAACAGCACCAGAGTAAGAGCCCACCATCCTTCAGGAGAGCTACAGGGCCAACCTGCCCTCTCCAGCACCGCCGCTCCAGGCACAGCAGCCTCCCCAGGGCAGTCATGACAGGGCTGACAGCCGAACCCCCCCCACACACACCCACCTGAGCACCCAGTGTCCAGGCCTCAGCTCCCTCCCTGGGCGTGACACGGGCATCCTTCCTGCACGGCAGCCCAACAGCACGAGGACACGTCTCAGCCTTAAGGCACAGCCGGCCCTCGGGGCCTCGCACCCACATCCAGCTCTCTTTGCGAGGAAACGCAAAGCCTGGCGCCTAGCAGGGCAGGACCGGCCCCGGGAAGGCGTAACGGCACGGCTCTGAGAGCCACCCGTTCAGGTCGGGCCTTCAGGGAGGAGCAGACCAAGGCAGAATGAGGCTTCGGGACGGGATTAGGCCCAGGCCGGCACCCAAAGCACTCCCGACAGGGCGGCAGGACGAGGCCCGGCTCCCAGCCCTGCAGAAGCGGCCCCGGCGCGGCCCCTTCCCCAGCGAGAGGCGTCCCCGCGGCCTCCGGAGCCGAGCGCAGGCCGAAACACCGCGTGACCTTCACCGGGGGGAGCCCCGGGGGCGGCGGTGACCTTGCGCGGAGCGAGGCCGGCAGGAGCCGCCGGGGCGGGGCGGCCTCGGATAATCGGACGGAGTCGCTCGGAGCCGCGACCCGCCCCGCCGCACGCATGGACCGGGCGGTACCGGGCGAGGCGCGGCGCTTCCCGCAGCCCCAGCCCAGCGGGGCGTCGCTCACCTTCACAGTGACAGGGCCAACCGGGGAGAGCGAGGCACGGCACCGAGAAGGAGGTGGGAGGAGGCCCGAACCCGCTCGCCTCTCTCTGCCTGTTCCGCTCCGCTCCGCTGCCTGCGCCGCGCCGAGCGCTCTGCGCCGCGCCGCCGCGCCGCGCTCAAATACCGCCCCGCCCGCTGCGGCGCGCGGACCGCCGCGCCCTCATTGGCTGCGCCTCGCGCCACGCCGCGCTCCTATTGGCTGCGCCGCAGCGCTGCCCGCCGGCCCGGCCCGTCCGCCCGCGCTGCTCTGCCTACATCCTGTTTCATCCCACAATGCCGCGCGGCGGCGCGGAGCGGGGCGGTGCCGGGGGCGGAGCGGTGCCGTCCCGTCAGCGTGAGGGGCGGAGCCGGGCCGGGCCGCCTGCGCTGGGGTTCCCTGAATCTTAACCGCCTGCTCCGCACCCGCATCCCGCCGGGGTCCGTCACGCCCCGGGAGGGACGCCTTGTTCGGCGGAGGGCTGCTGCTGGGCGCAGAGACCCGGCGCACGTCGGCGGGGCCGGCCTGCGGCTCCATGGGCGTTCTGCTCCGTGTCCCCAGGAAGATGCGGTGTCTCTGGTGACAGGACGGAACGTGCCCTCCATAAGAGCGTACAGGTGTCCCCGGGTGCCCAGTGTGCCGGGATGGCGGCCCACCAGCCTTGATTCTGGTCGTTCCCTCTCAGCCGGCACAGGTGCCGAGGAACTGCCCGACGGAGAGCCGGGCAGGAAGGCGTTCCCGCTGCCGCACGGCAGGGCAGGCTGTACCGGCTCCCATCCCCGCCACTGGGGCTCGATGCTCCCAGGCCGTGTTTCCAGAGGCTCGCCGTGCACCCGGCCAAGTCCCGCTGCTGTGGCTCAGCAGAGCTGGGTTTCCCGGTCCGGACAGCTGCAGCACCCCTTGCTAACTGAAGGAGCTTCGTTAGTAAGGAGGGTTCTGAGCTTCTGTAAGAGTCAGCTCTCCATTCCCGCCCCTCCTGCTGACACGAATGTCTGCTTAATCCTCGGGTGCAGTAATGGCAGCCACGAAGTCGAGGTAGCTGCAGTTTAACATAATGTTAATCCTGAACTGAGGCTGGGGCAGATGATGGGGGCAAAGCAGATCTTAAGACTGGAAGTGGCTGCTGAACTGTGTCTGCCCTGTACAGCAGGAGCCCCGGACCTCGAACCAGGAGCAAGAGCTGGCCACAGCCCGGCCAGTAGCAGTGCAGCACTGCCTATGTGGGCTGGGCGCTTCTGTGCACGGGAAGGAGCATGGCCTGGACAGGAGGAAGTGATTCAAATGGGAGATGCGTTCCTAAATCGTGACAAAAAACATTTATTTATAAATTGCTCTGGGTGCACTATATAAGGCACTTAAGGGAGATGAAAAGGGCCTGGCTGTGTGGAGCTGCTTGCCATCTAAGGCTGTGCTCATCCGCCAGCCCAGCTCTGCCCTGCGGCCAGGCGCTTCCTGACCAGGCACATTTCCAGCCCCAGCCGTGGCTCGGCTCTTCTGTTCTCAGGAATGGCCTTTCTGCCTGGGTCTCTGTCCTGAAGCCAGGGAAATATCTGCAATGAAACCACACATCTGCAGAGACGACTGTACAAACATTGCCTTTGTCTTCTCTCCCTGCAGCAACTCCTTCTGTCTTCCTTCCTCCATTGTGCCTCCTTTACCTGCTCATTTCCAGACTGCCATCAGCTGCTCTGTTTGCCAATAATCATCAATAAAAACAGCAGCAGCGGAAGAGCAGTTTCTTTTTTTAACTCATCTCCCAGCTCTCACATGGCTCGGGGATGTGGCATGGCAGTGACACCCTTGGCATCCTGATGGCACCATGGCAGTGCATACAAGGGACATTTGGCCATTCACTGTATCAGCACAAAGCCCCTCTGCCAAGAGCTGTCTGCTGTGGTCAGAGCACAAATGTCCCAGCGGGGCTGCTGTGATGACTTTCCTGGTCTGGAGACACTGCAATCACAGATAATCTTCCTTCTGGGGCTGGTACCTCAAGCAAATGGCCCGGCAGCTCAGATCTCCTCAAAGGGACAAGCTGCAAAGCACCTGCACAGAAACAAAGTGCTAGTGTCAGGGATGCTGCTGAGCAGTTTATGCCCCACATCTGGTTTCTGCTGAAGCTCACAGGGCTGCCTGCACAGCTGCAGTGTGACAGAGTCGTCGCTCCTACAAACCCCCTTTGCCTCCGCCCCCCCCCCGCAATCTGTCCTGCAGCAAAGGACATGTACAGGCGTATCTCTAAGGTAAATGGTCTTAAAAATGTGATGAGTTATGGATGGCTTTTTGTCTAAACATTTCTTTCTACAAGGTAGTCTGTTGCCTGCAATCCCACAAGCATGACAGAAAACTCTTTAATACTAAATGGCTTGTGAGCCTTATTAATATGTATTCAGGTCATCTGCTTGCTACAAGTTTTTGCAAGTGACTTGTGGTGTGCAATTCATGCAGGATCCATAAACAAAAATACCTATCTGGAATCTGGGCAGGGTCACGTTAGCACAGGAATGCAATTAGCGCCTGTATGTACACTGCAGCAGGACGAGGGCAGCTCCAGCATCCCAGGCAAGAAACAGGCTGGGACCTCCCTCTGGTCTGTTCTCCTCAGAGGTGAAAGGCAGGCTTAGAAGGGCCTTAAACACCAAAGGAAAAGTTGTTTCAGAGCCATGTGCCACACACTGCTCTCTCCTCACCCTTCCGTGGTCACAGCCCCCGGGAGTGTCCCCACTCAGGGAACACATAGTGGGCTCACATGTAAGTTGAGTGTTCATGCATGAATTAAGTGAAAAGTCATGCATGCACTAAATGGACATTAATATGCAAAGTAACTGAGCACTCGTGCAAAATACTCGGGTGCTCATTCATGCATTGATTGGGTGCTCATGTGGGCAGTAATTAGGCATTCATGCATGCAGAAACCGAGCATTCATGCATGGGCTGATCCTGCACTTGTGCAGGAGCCAGTTGTGACTGTGTAAGTCCACCAAGTGCACAAACGAGCCCTCTGGCTGCTCACATGGGCACTGTTTGGCACTCAAGCATCTTCTTAGCACTCACCCCTGAATGAACCAATTGCTCCTGCACTGCAGACTGGGTGCTCACACAGAAATAACTGGGTGCTGTGCATTCACCAATGGGGCTCTCATGTGTGCATTTGTCAGGCACTCATGCCTGAACTGGGTGTTCATGCAGGCATTGCTGGCCACTCACACCTGGCCAATTGGACACTCATTAATAAAGTAATTGGGTGCTCAGAGTGAGCTATTTGGGTGCTCATGTAGGATTGCAGCAACCCTGTGATTTATGCCCTGCAGGCTTCCATCAGCAATGCTGCACCCAGAGCCTGGCCAGGAACCCCTCAGCCCTCCCACTGAGCTCCCCGGGGCAAAGAACAGAGCTGCTGCCCTCAGACAATGCAGACCTCACTCCAGCACAGCATGGATGCACGGTGTTCCAAATGCAGGTCTGTGATGTAGGTCAGCAGCACTTCTGTGCTTTACTTAGGCTCTAGCAGTTCCATAACTGAGTGAAGGAAAAAGAGGGAAAATAATGGAATCTGTAATCACTACTCTTGATGCTATACTGACACAGCTGCCCTCCCACAGCCTGATGCTCTCACTTCACTCTGCAGAAGGAGCTGCAATACTTGGCCCAATCAATAAATACACATTTTATGCGTCTCTAAAGCCTGTAATACATCTCTGGGTGTAAGAGCCCATGAGGGATTTGGTTTTAATTAGAGAAATGCTCCAGGCTGCTCTGCCCAGGTGCAGGGGGGGGCCACTCACACTGCCCCAGCCCAGCCTCAGCAAAAGCAGCCCCACATCCTGAGGTATGCCAGCATATCTGATGGCAAGTGGGATTTATTTTGAAACAGGTGGCTGAAATCCTGCTTGCATCTCCAACGAGAGGCCAAGGCAGCTCTTCTGGTGGGATGCACATGATATTTGGGCTTTGCTACCAGTGATGGCTCTGTGCAGACAGCAATGCCCTGCACAAAAAGGGTACCTGAACATTGCCTGCTGTGGCCGGTAAATCCAGCTCCAAAACCCAGAGGACCTTTTGGAAGCATTTCAGCATTTTTGTCCAAACAAAAGGCAGCTTTATCTACTAATAGAAGTGCTGAAGAGACAGGAAGAAAACTGGACTTCGTGTAATTTACTGCTCCTGGATCCCATGCTGTCCATCCCCACCCTCTCCCCTCAGTAGCCCATGCAGTGCCCGTGCCCAGTCAGGATCTGGCTGTGCTCCCTGGGCCACAGAGCATCACTCTGCTGTGGTTTGGAGGTGCTGAGATGGAGTTCATGGCAAGGAAAGGGCACAGGTTTCTGTCCATCAGCCCTGGCATGTCACAGCATTTGGTTCATGTTTGCTTCCAGCAGGCAAGCAGTCACAGTGCATGGCTGCTCTCTGCTCAGTGGGGAGAGGAAGAAGGTGAATAAAAAAGAAAAGAAAAAAAAGTCCTGGGGGAAAATAAATACTTTCTGACGTCTTTTATGCTCTCAAAGAAAACAAAAGTGTACTAAGCTGCTGCTTTATGTTTCCCCTAAGGGCCAGCAGCATGCATTGGCTGGTTTATTTCTTTTGCTGAGGACACGGGGTCCATAATGGAAAACAGCACTGCAGCGAGGTGCACAGCCCCGTGCAAAAGGAAACAAATCCATATGCTGACCTGGTGAGCTGGTCCCCATGCCTCTGCAGCTCAGCTCTCCTGGAGCCCCCTGCACCTCTCCTGCCTGCCCATGTCTGGCATTTCAGAGAACAAAATGGTAATGTACTGCCTGGGAAACAACGTAAGAAATTGCTATGTAAGGTAGCTACTCTTGATACTTTTTTCTACAGCTTGTATAAAAAGAAACTACCAGAACTACATCTATGTGGGGTCACATCCTGCCTGAACACCCCGGGCAAACACAGCACAGACATCACTGCTGCCTGCAGTCTGATTGAACACTAATGGAAATCCTCCTTTACAAACCACTGAGGCCTGGCAAATTGGGGCTATTTTTGGAGAGCAAAAAGCCTCAGATCTACGCACACTCCTGAGGGAGGCACAACCAAGAGGACATTGGTACGCATGGACCTCGTGTCCCTGCTGGACAGACAGACACTGAAATGAGCACCCAGGAGATGGCTGTGCCTTTTGTTTACTCATTTATTGGCAGGAAGGAGAGGGCTCATGTTTTGTGTTCATTACAAGTGTTTCTGTTCCTCGTCCTCCAGAGCACCTGGCAGCACAGTGGGAGTGCCCAGCAGGGACCACAGGGACAGCAACTGCCACAGCAGCTCAGGGCTCACCAGGGACTCTGGGCTCAGGTCCACCCACATGGTGAGGAACCCAAGGGAACCTCACCCTGAAGTCATGGCAACACGACAACAAGGCAGCACACATCCCACCAAAACCTCAATTTGTTAATGAGCTTTTAATTGTTGCTAGCAAGACAAATAGTACTTCAGAGATGTTATAGTCACGGCTCTTCTGAGTAAGTCGTATTTAATAGCTTCGGGGGTGTAGGTGTTATTATGATCAGCGTTCCAGGATTTCTAAAACCCAAGCATCTCGCCCAACACATCATCCTCGTGCTGTTAGCTCGGCTACAGGCATCACGTGCAGGAGCAGCAACAGAGTACGGGCAGTGCCCCATGGCAGCACTGTGACCCTTCGCACCGTGTGCCCTGCAGGCATGCTCAGCCTAACTCTTAGCAAATAACTTCCATCACCTCTCAAGTCGCATTCATGACTTTGTTAGGACCCTGGTCCTAATGCGCAGGGGCTGCATCTCTGCCCGCTCTTCTGGTGGCTTTGCTAACCCTGCCCTCCATCTGTGTTTTTCACCCAGGTTGGCTTCCAGGTAGAATTTGCACAGCCAAGGTGTGCACTGGGACAAGCCACAGCATGCGCACACCGAATCTTGTGGCTTATGCATAAATCTAAATAAATAAAATGAGCTGTGCCACTCTGCCTTTTATTGGAAACATTTCCCACCTTGCTGACTTTCATTGTCCTATTGCTACACTCAGAGTTTCTCTGAAAAAATCACAAGTTGCAGTTTGGTATCTTTTCTGCACAAGTAAATGCATGGCATGGAGACACCTCTGGCTCAACACGTAGAGCTGCAGAGATAGTCTGTGCAGTTTTGTGTTGCTGCTGATCTGCCAATGAACCCAGTTCCCCAGGACTATTGTCACGGATCGGGAATTTTGGACAACTCAGTTCTACAATAACTGTTCCAGCTTACAGCACTGTTTAAAAACAGCCCTTTTTCTCCCAAACAATCAGGGCTTTAGGGGTTGTTATTTTGCAGTGCAGTGTGACAGGATTAATCCCTGCCCAATAGTGCAGCACTTTAGGAGCAGGTTCTCTCACCCCAGCCCTGGGAAAGCCGCCGCCCCTCCAACACTTCTGTTTCATCATCAGTAAAAGTGAATAATGAGCTCACTGCAGTGTCTTCACGCCAAGAGCCATCTGTGGGATCACACGGCTGTCTGAGCAGAGCGAGGGCTGCTTAACAGCATGGAAAAAGGTCCCAGAAAGAAGAGGGGAGAAGGAAAGCTGTGAGGATGCCAGCGAGGCCCAAACCAAACCTGCTGGGCTTCGTTTGCAATGTGAGAAGCTGAGAGCAGGCAGTGGGAACATGGCAGCCTGAGCTCCGGCACAGCTCCACCCAGAGGAGCTGGGTGACTCGGTTCATGTTTGCTTTGCTGATCGATTCTCTGCTTGAAAGCTCTGTTCTCCATTATGAGAACAGAAGCCCGTCATTTTACAGCAGCTGGTTGACATTTTTGATTTTTTTTTTTTAAGACTATTTGCCATTTCTTACCTAGTAATTTATTTTCTACGTAATTAATGTTTAATGATTCTCCACAAATACATTTTTCCAGAAAGCCAAAAGCAGCTCTGAAAAAGCAACCAAACATTCTGCAGCTTATCCAAATGCTTTAAGTGCTCCACTGATAGCACGGAGCTAAAAAGGTAATGAGAAAGAAAACATTCAATAATTCTATGAAGAGACACTTCATTAAAGTAATTAAAGCAATCGTTTAAAGTAGTTATAAGGACTATTAACACACAAAAGAAATTGTGTGGCGGGTTTTAGCAGACCAGGCAGATTCACCATTATCTTATGATGCCTTTAAGAATAACTTCCAGCAGGTTATTAAGAGTCATCCCCAGGCATAGGCTGGAGCCTTCTCCATACACGCAAAGAGCGTGTTTGGGGTCTTTGCAACCAATTCACACTCTGGTTTCAAGAGAACGGTGAAACCATTAAAACTCCTTGAAGTTGCAGGAAATCCCCAGGAACCAGGAGTTGTATTTGGGTAAAGAACAGCTTCTGATGGTGGGCTTTGCTCATCACATCTTTCTGTGATTAATAGCAGTCTTTAAACCACCAGCAATCCAGCTCAGATATCACCGATGTCAGAAATCATTAGAGCAGAGGACATTACTGCACTTTAACCCAGAGAGAGGGAAATGAAAGGCACTGGCAATAATCAGGCACTTTATAACTTCATAGTGAAAATGTTGTCACTATCAAACGTTTCCTAATGCCACGAGGATTGCTGTTTGCTGGAGGAATACGTATTTTTAATTAACGTATGAAAATGAAGTAAGCATGACAGCCACTACTAAACACCAGGACATTTCTCAAAATCCCTCCATTAACTCAGGAGCATAAGGGGTTTTCTCCATGCCGAGTTGCTGCGTGCCCCCATCCCCGTGGTGCTGCGATTCAGCCCTTCAACACCAGGCGGGCTCAGCGCTGCTGCTGGCAGAGCCAGCCAGGCTACAGGCAGGCAACCGCTGTCCGCCCCAGTGCCACATCTGACCTCACAACGCATTGCCACCTTTGCAAAAGCAAAGCGCGATCTCCAGGAAGCCAAGTGTGAGCCAACAGAGCGAGGAACGCTCTGCCCTCCTGAGCCGGGCCAAGGCTTTATGCTGTATTAAAAAAAGAGAAAAAAAAGAGGATGCTTGAGTTCCCTGTCACCAGGGAGGTGCTGCCGGCCAAAAAAAAGCTTGTTTTTAAACCAAAGTCTGGCTCATCTAATTGCACCCTAATTAGCTAAAAGCAATTTATATGTTAAAAATTACATCTGCTGCCTGAAGAAATGTCAGGGATGTGTGACTAACAAGGATAACACCCCGGTGTTTTAGTGACTTCATATAAATTCCAATCTCACAGAGAAAACAAACACAGCGGGCTGTTATTTCCCTGACGGCTCTGCTCACGCCGCCGTTACACAGCGTCCATCGTTACACCCAATTCCGCTTCCATTTGCCATCCCCAAAGTCTTTGCGCTTCGGTTTTTATTCACTGACGCAGACACGAACTGGCACTGACGTTCGGTTTGCCCTTTATTTGGATTCCCGAAGCCGCACTGCCGACCGCAGGCAGCCTGGCGGCCGTGCCGTGCCGTGCCGTGCCCGGGGAGCCCCGCAGCGGCGCCCGGAGGCGGGAGGTGACGCCGCTCCGTGCCCTCGGGCGGCCATTTTGCCTCCGCGCGGTCTAGTCCGTCCCGCCCGCCTCCGCGCTCCGTCCTCTGAGCTTCTCCCTTCCCCCGGGCGCCGACACGGGAGAGGCCGGGCCGCAGCCCTCCGGGTGGCCGCGGAACGGGGCGGGAACGGCCGGGAAAAGGACGCGACGTAACGGGCCCGACTACGACCAGCGATGCGCACGGCCCCCGCCGCCCCGCGGTGCATTGTGGACCGAGCCACGCCCCGCGCCTTGGCGCCAAGAGCCCCCGCCGCCACAGTGCATTGTGGGACACCCCCAGGCCCGGCCGGGCCTTCTTGGCGCGAGCGCCGCACCGGACGTGACGTCACACGGCTCGACGCCCCGTAAAACGGCGGCGGGGAAAAAGCGCCGCGCTCCCGTGGCGGACAGCGAGGCTTTCTGAGGAGAACCGAGTTTGTCCCGTTCCCCCGGGCGGGAGCGGCGCCCTTCGCGCGGGCCCGACCTCTTTGGCTGAGCCTCGGAGGTGAAAGACAGGAGAGAGGGACTACTTTTCTACAGCGCCGCGCATGCGCGAGGGCGCGGCGGGAGACGAACCACCGCAGTCGAGTCGAAGGCCGTGGGCGGCGCTGCGCCGCGGGGTGAGATCGCTGCGCGCGCTGCGAGCGCGAGGGGAGCCGCGGTCGCCATTTTGAAGCGGCGGTTGGGGGAGGCGGCGTGTGCGCTCTCGTCTGCCCGGCCCGGCCCCGCGCCCGCCCGCCCGCCCGCGCTCCGCGCACCGGCCCCGCACCGCCGCAGCCATTGCCGACCTCGGCATGTCCGGAGGGGGCGTGATCCGCGGCCCAGCCGGCAATAACGACTGCCGCATCTACGTGGGCAACCTGCCCCCCGACATCCGCACCAAGGACATCGAGGACGTCTTCTACAAATACGGCGCCATCCGCGACATCGACCTGAAGAACCGCCGCGGCGGGCCGCCCTTCGCCTTCGTGGAGTTCGAGGACCCCAGGTGAGCTCCCGCGGGGCCTTTCTCCGGGGACGGGAGCGGCCCTTCGCGCGGTGCCGCCCGGCGCTCCGCCCGCCCCCCCCGGCGCTGCGCTGCGGCCCGGCGCGGGGGGCGGTGGGGGCGGGGTGGGGCCGCGGGGAATGGAACAAAGGCGCTGCGGGGGGCGGCGCGTGGCAGGGCGCGGCCCGCTCACCGCCCGTCCCGTCCCGACCCGCAGGGACGCGGAGGACGCCGTCTACGGGCGGGACGGCTACGATTACGATGGGTATCGCCTCCGCGTGGAGTTCCCTCGCAGCGGCCGGGGCACCGGCAGAGGAGGCGGTGGCGGCGGAGGGGGCGGAGCCCCGCGGGGCAGGTACGGCCCCCCGTCCCGGCGATCGGAGTACAGAGTGATCGTATCGGGTGAGTCACGGCTCTCTGCCCCCGGTCCTTCCGGCCGCCGTGCGCGGGGGGCGACGCGGCTCTGCTTTTGTCGGGAGGGGCGCCGGGTGCCGCGGGCTGCGCTTGGGGCGGTCCGCTAAGTCGGCCGAACGGCCCTCGCGGGCCGCGGGATGGCTCTCGCCCTCCTAACGCCGTCCTCCCCGCAGGAGAAGCCCGTGCGATCGGGTTTTAAAGCCGGGTGTTGCTTTTTATCCAGGGCTGCCTCCAAGTGGAAGTTGGCAGGATTTAAAGGATCACATGCGTGAAGCAGGTGATGTATGTTATGCTGATGTTTTCCGAGATGGCACTGGTGTCGTGGAGTTTGTACGGAAGGAAGATATGACCTACGCTGTGCGAAAGCTGGATAACACTAAGTTTAGATCTCATGAGGTAGGTTTCACGCTTACTTGGTTTTGGCCAGAATTGGATACAAAGGGCTTAACAGTAGGACGTGAAGGTAAGGAATGTGTGGTGTTCGGTGCGTTAGTACACAAAGCAGCTAAACTGAGCCTGCTGTCAGTTCGTCACAGAATAGACTTTATTAAGAGTTTGATGTCTATTTCTGTGCTTTAGTAAACGATATCTGCAGTCTGTCAGCATGCCTAAAACGATGGCCCTGAAGCCTAGACCTTTCAATCGAAAGTTGTGTCTATTCAATAGGGAGAAACTGCCTACATCCGTGTTAAAGTTGATGGTCCAAGAAGTCCAAGCTATGGAAGATCTCGGTCACGCAGCCGTAGTCGTAGCAGAAGCCGTAGTCGAAGCAACAGCAGAAGCCGCAGTTATTCCCCACGAAGAAGCAGAGGATCTCCACGCTACTCTCCCCGCCACAGCAGATCCCGATCTCGTACATAAACGATCACTAGCTCTGATCTTTTTGTAGAACCCCATGTTGTACACAGTTTTCCTTTACTCAGTACAGTCTTTCAATTTTTTTTTAAATTCAAACTGTTTTATTCAAATCGGCTGAAGTGTTGAATTGCATTCTTGTGTAAAATCCCTAGTGAGTATTTGCTCCGTAACAACAACATTCCCCTCATGTCTTTGGTAAACTGTATTTTAATTGATGTCAGTCAGGATTGTTTCAATTTAGTTATAGTTAAATACCACCATTCTTCAAACTGTGGTATTGCTGTGTAAATGTCTCAGTGTTCAGCTATGGTTTATGCGAGCTGGGGATGTTGGGATGTTTGTGGCTAACTTGTCTCTTCTGGGGGATCTTATATTTTATCTTGCCTTTTCGTGTGTCTTTCTGTAGACATATCTGAAGAGATGGATTAAGAATGCTTTGGATTAAAGGATTGTGGAGCACATGTCAATCATTTTAGGATTGTCAAAAGGAGGATTGAGGAGGATCAGATCAATAATGGAGGCAATGGTATGACTCCAAGTGCTATTGTCACAGATGAACTTGGCAGTATTGACCTTATACTGAGACAGGTGAATTGAGAACGTGCGCCTGCGTGTCACTTCTTCAGGCACCTCTTGGTCACTGCAGGCTACAATTGCTCTTCTCTTTAAAACCCTCTTGGCAATTGTGGCTCAGTACTTGCTGTTGTAATTCCTTATTCCATTCTAGTTTTTCTTAAAGGAGTAAACCGGGACAGGGGTGGGAGTATTGGTTTACTTTGTCGTGCAGCATTTGGTTACAAGTGTTAATGTTCCATAGTACGTCTACGCTTGCAGATCAAGGGTATCTTTAAATCAGAGTATAATATCAATACTGCTAAAATCTGCATGTCCTCTGTGTGACTGATACAGCGTTGCTATTTCATTTTTTTTTAAGTATCAGAATGAAAGAAAAAACATAAGAGAACCTAGTTGGGAATAGTTTGTCAGCCCTTCCCCCAGACTAATTCAGATTTGACTCACCGGTATGCTTGAAAACTGCAGTTAGTTAACTTTGTTACCTTCCAGCTAGGGGTGCTAGCTGTAGCTTAGACGTGCAGTAGGCGGATAGCTTTAGCAGTAAACTTTTCCAATTTCATAAACATTTTTTGCAACCACAAAACCTGTAGCACACCACCGTACGAGCAATGAGTATGTTGGCATTTTCAGTTGACATATGTAAATATTACAGTGTTTCCTCCAAATAATTAACATTTCTTAAAAAAAAAAAAAAAATAGCATCACCATTCAGAAGCTTGTTTTGGGGAATTGATAGTTATTAATGTACATCTGTATTAATTGATGGCAAACATAACTGATCATTCCCCAGAATCCTATTTTTTCATTGCAGTATCTAACTTTTTGCCTCCTCTTTTTTGGTTTTGCTGGTTATAAAGGTTTGGATTGGAGAGGGCTCACTGGATCCCAATCCTTGGAGCTGGATCATTGGATTCAAATCATAATGTGGATAGGATAGGGAGGCTGAATGGCAAGGATTCATGGAGCGGGATCAGATTACCAGGAACATAGGAGTGGATTCCTGCCCCAACCAAACCGCATTCGTGTGGATTTTTTTATTCAACTCAATTGGCTATTCCAAAGATTTTTCTTTCCTATTTTTGACGATTGGAGCCCTTATGATGCACGATGGAATTTTTCATTTTTTGGTAAAAGGAGCAAAGCGAGGACCTGGAGAGGTACGCTGGAGCAATCTCCTTGGAAGGATTCAGCACGAGTAGATGGTAAACGTTAAATGGGAAAAAGGGGGGTTTGTTTAAACAAAAAAAAAGTCATTTCTCTAAATTTAAAGTCAAAAATTGGAGTTTAAGTAGGCTTTCAATTGGCTATTGCGTTTTTTTTCTTTGACAAATAAAATTTTTTAAAAATCACGCATGGTTGTCATCATTTGCTGATCAAAAAGTCTGCTTACCACCAGGAGCTGCAGCATTGTTCACATTAGCAGACAAAAGCCTCTTGTGTTCAACAACGATCTGCTGTTCTGCAGGAAGCGCCGATGTTTGAGCTCCTGCACGAAGGAATGGGTGCCCTGTGGGACTTGGATGGAATTTATTAGTTAGGGGAAAAGAAGAAAGAGTTCTAACTGCTAACAGAAGGTGCTTTGCTTTTGGTAATGATAACAACTGAAGCGATTGTGGAAGAGAAGTGTGAGATCAGCCAGGCCCAGCGTTCCTCTCTGCCTTCCTCGGAAGCTGCTCAGACTGCAGGCTGCGTCCCCACACCTGGGTTCTCCAGTACTGGCAGACTTGGAGACTGCGTGCAGGAGGCACATCTAGCATAAAGGATGTGGATGTTCCTTCGGTTTCCTGATGAGGTAATACTGAACTTAACTGAGTTCAGTTCACAAGGAATTCAAGTGTTAACACTGAGCGAGCAGGAAAACTTTCCATGGGATGTGCAGTTGTCTGCCAGTGTCTGAGTGTGCTGCTGTGGCAGCGGTCAGGCTGGTGCTCAAACAGGATGCTGCTGTGTGTGTGCAGGAATGGCTGGCTGGTGGTGGTTGCTGCGTGGCTGGGCAGTGCAGAGCAGGGCAGAAGCACGCTGTATTTCCAGGCAGGAACACAGATACGTGTTCAGGATGAGATGAGCAGCTTCGGGTTGGGAAGCTGCATGCTGCAATGTGTAACCCTGTACAGCTTGCTGCATATGGTGAGTTTGGTACTGGATGTTGCATCCATGCAGAAGTACTATGCTGCCAGAGGTGTGTGTGTGTGAGATACTCTTTTTTTTTTTTGAGATACAGTTGCTTTTGGGGGTAGGGGGTGGAGCAGCAGAGATAAGAGGTGATCTGGGGGTTCAGAGAGGTGTGGTGGCTCTTGCCAGGAGGATTAGGCTGTGGGAAGGGAGGGAGGGGGGCACACTGTGCTGTCAGAGCACAAGAAGGTCGGCCCCAGACCCAAACCCTTGTAGGAATTAAATCTGTTCTGTTACCTGTGTTCAGGAAAGGGGAGTCTGTGGAACAGTTGTACAGCAAGGGAAGCAAAACCTTTTATATTGCAGAATTAAACCTTGAAGGCTTTGGTTTAACTGCAGAGGGCTGCTGTGAATGCATAAGGACTGGAAAGAAAGCAAACTGCTCAGGAGAGGAGTTGGGACCTTGAGAAGGGCGTTACAGTCCTGTAACTGCGGTACAGGAACCGGTGCTGAGCCAAGGAGTGCAGCCCAAGTCAGTTCTCAGCAAGCTAATATGTAGCTAATTAATGTGCTGTAGTGCTAAATGAAGGGGTTGTTTGGCTGACTTCAGGATGTGGGAAGTACCCATGCAGGCTCTAATGGCAGAGGTGTGAGAAGGCTTTCAGGTGCCCGGCCGGGTCCTCCAGGCTCTCCAGAGCAATCCCAGGTGAGAGCAGAGCTGTGTGCAGGGGGCTCTGATCCACAGCTGCTCCGTCTGCTGTGCAGCTCAGCCGTGTGGGCTGCAAATCCTGCAGGATCGGCTGCTGCTACGGTCATCTCAAGTGGTGCACAGTAGTAGTAAGGCTCTGCAAGGCTGGTGCTCCCCAGGGGTGTGAGAGCACGCCGGTGTCTGTGTGCCGAGGCACGGGTGGGAGCAGCAGTGCTTCAGGGCTGCAGCACTCATGCATTGCAGGTGGGTTCGGCCCCGTGGCATCCCACTGCTGCCGTGCTGGAGGCAGTTACCTGCTGGTGCACTTTGCAGGCAGCCGTGTGATGCCAAAGCGCCGCTCTGTTGGTACACTGAGGGCAATTGTTGGCCCCGGGGATGTGTGGCTGCTCTGTTTCACCCTGGGCCCCGCAGCTGGCAGCTCACAGCGAGCCCATACTGCGCCCATTGTGCGCTGTGCAGGGAGGGAGGGGTCTGTGCTCCTTCACTGCGTGCGACGCCGATAGCGTTGATAATAAGCGTTGGGTTGATAATAAACCCAACATCAGCACCGAAATAGAAATGGGTAGAAAGCTTGTGGTTTCTCCTACAAACCACAGTTTAGGGTTTTTTGTTGGTTGTTTGCTATGTTGTTGTTTTTTTTCTTTCTTTCTTTTTTTTTTTTTAACAGAAACTTCTGCTTTAGAGCAGCAGAGCCTCTCTCCCTCCTCTCTCCCTCCCCCCTCCGGTAGCGGCAGTCGGGGCTCCAGGGCTCTGCCCCACCTGCAGCAGCTTGCTTCTCCTTCCACAGCACAGTCCTAACAATTCCTGGTTCTGCCAGGAGTAGCTGCAGCTTTGGTGAGAGTCCAACTTCCCCCCTCGAGTGTGAAGTATTCCCCATTGCCTTTGTGTGAGGAAGAGCAATTTCTCTTAATTTGCAATTAAAACAATTTCAGGTAGAAAGCTGAATGAATAACAAATGGGATTCCATGCAGTTCCTAAGAAAGGACCCTTCCCTGAAGTCTTTCCTACGTGCAGGAGGGCAGCAGGGGCTCAGGCTGCAGTGCTCCGTGTGCAGCTGCTCCAGGCATGCTTTGTGCTGCCTTCATGCAGCTGCTGTGCAGCACGTGGCCATTGCCCAGCACGGAGCAGGGGCTCCATTGGGATGCAGCAGGAGCAGGGCTGGAGGCACAGCCAGGTCCTGTTGGCTTTGCCCATCCTGTGCTGCTCAGTTTGCTGCGTACCGGAGGGCTGAGTGTCTGTGAAACAGTTGTGGGGCTATTAACATAATTTTATGCACTAATTTGTGTGATCATTAAAGAGTTGAAAAGGCCATTGTTCACATGAGTAATTACCTCTGTGTTCTAATAGCTTTAATTCATCCTGTAAGCGAGTTTCATATTTGTGTGACTCAGCTGAAGATTCATGCTTTGGGTATAATACGATTTGAAAGTCCTCATTGCTTATGGGGGTGGGTGGTGCTGCGGGCTGTGACCCCACACAGCTGCGAGTGCAGGCCGTGTTACCACCGGGTGGGCTGAGGTCCTGCAGCGAACCTCCTGCCCCTTGGGTGGCACACGTGGCCTCTGGGAGTGGAGATTTCAGAACGAGCAAGTGCCATAGCCCAGCAGTGTGCTGCGCCCCAGGCGTCCTCCCCCCAGCAAACAGCAGGGCTGCGCTCTTCTAGAGACTTTTGGTGCTGTGTTAGCAATGGGGAAAACTTCCTCTGCAGCGCTTTGCAGCGGGTGTGCATCTGCCTTCTTTCGCTGTGTGTGTGTGTGTGTGTGTGTGTGTGTGTGCGCTTGCATCCCCGAGGGGCAGCTGCGGGTGGAGGAGCTGCAGGCGGAGGGGCAGCGGTGGCACGGCGCGCCCTGACCTCGCACACCCAGCATTGCTCCGCGGCTCAGCCTCCAGCGGAGGTCTCCCCACCTACATCCCGTGCCCGCACACAGCAGCCGCTTCTCAGCCTGGGGTTGTGCCCCCGCTCCCTGCACAGCAGAGCCTCCCCGGCACAGAGCGCAGCAGGCGAATGCGCCAACATTGATTACGCTGAGAAAATCCATAACTGCCAAATGAGATTAACCCCCCCTACGCACACGGGCACAGGTCCTGCTCAAAGCAAACAGCAGAGAATAAACAACGCGGGAGCACGGCACGAGTGGGGCTGGAGCTGCGCCCGCTGCCCACAGCGCCCGGGGCTCCATGGCTGCGGGCGGGGAGGAGGCAGCGGCTGCGGGGCTGCATGGCTGCCGGTGTTGGAGCAGGGATTACTGCTCGGATTTCCCTCGTTCACGGCCGCGCTGTTCTGTGCGGCGCTGACCCGACGTGCACGGCCGCGTGGCACTGCTGGCCAGGCAGATGATGGGAAGGGAGCGGGGCAGGAGCGGATGTTTCTGCACAGCCCTCGGCCCCAAAGGAATTATGACTAAAAATGGTCACTGGTGATGAAGCGGAGGAGCGCTCTGCTGTGCGATTGCTTCTCTCGCTGCTACATGAAGTTTCAAATCGAGCACAGAGCTGGGAAGCAGCAGACGTGGTGCCAGGGCAGCGTGGTGGGGTCGGGGTGCAGCCAGAGGTCTCTGAGCTGCAGGAGACGAAGAATTCTGGTGCTGTGCATCACGTGTGTGTGTGGATCCGAGGGATGGCAGCAGATCCGATGCTAAGTGTGGGTGGGTGGCACAGCCAGCACCGTACTGCTGGGTGTCCCTAAGCAGTGCCACTGCTGCAGCCTTTGCTTGGGGCAGAGTGGGGGTGTGAAATGTGCCAAGGATGGCAGCGAGGCCGGCAGCCGATGTGGTGGTTCTGAGCAGTGTGGATGAGACAGCAGTGTGGCAGCAGCAGTGTGGTGGGAAAAGTTGTAGTGGAATGGGCAACATAATACTGCAGGGCTGTGCAGCAC